CCCGACGCACACGTCACCTCCGTAGCGATTTTTAAGAAGAATGAGAGAAAGAGAGAAAAATGCAGCACTTTAAAAAATAAATTTTAATAGTTTGGGAACGAATATAATTAAATAAAAACTGTTTTTAATGCTGATCTTATAATAATCTTATCATAAGCACTAAATAGTGCTAGCAAAGCATAAAATATTCAAGGATATAAACTAAAACATGTTGTTGGGAACCACTGCTCTGTGTACCTAACAGATGAGTAAAACAGAATACCAGTACCAAGTCTGATAATTGACCTACAAAATTGTAATAACTATAATACTGACTACTAGGTTGGATTCCGTTCTGGATTATGTAATATTTACAAAACTTAATGAAAAATGCTTAAAAATCCACTAGCCCCCGGTACTCAGAGTGCATTCATATTAATGAAAATTAATAATATTTCCCAGTATAGCATTGTGAATGCAAAATGATCAAATATAATATACAAGATTTCTTTAGCTGTTTTCTCAATCAACGACTTTTTTTAATTGAGGCAGAAACTTCTTGTGGTGCCCTTCCTCTATATCTTATTTTCTACGAACAAAACGGTTTTATAAATCAAATTAGCATCTTTTTACCCGAGTGCGCGACGCAAAGGAGGCTAATTAGTTTATCAGTCTATGTAGGTATGTATGTTTGGCGTTCTAGACACCAATTGCGTAGGCCAATTTTGATGATTTTTTACATCAATCGATTCGTCTTAACCTTGCTAGTGTCACTAAAGACATGATAGTAATCAAAATTCACTACAGCGATAACCAGACGCCATATTGTCAAAATGAAAAAAAATCGATGAACTATGTCAAGTGAGGTGTCGTTGAATAGGTATTAAGATGATCTATCGCGCATCTAAAGATGATTTTAAAATACCTATTTCCTTTTATATCCTAACCTAAGTTCCTTTTTTTATTTCCTAACCTAAGTTCCTTTTATCATTTTTCATTTTAAATAATAGTTTAGGATATACAACAATTTCGAACGAGTTATTTAACAAAATAATCAATCTCGCTATATTTTCTTACTTATTGATGTAAGTTTTTATTTAAAGTATAAACGATATACAAACAAAAAAACAGTGAAAATGAATGAAACACAAATATTTTTGGTAAAAAAAAATAACTTATTAATCGCCATGTCGCTGAGTAAAAGAAAGTTTACACCGAGCTCGATAGATAACTAAAAAGTATAAAATAAAAATAAATAATTTAAAGAAAAACAAAAACCCGACTGCGTAAAAACTAACTTTATTGTTTTTTAGGTATTTATTTTCCGTTTTTACGGTCGGGCTTTTTGTTTTTCTTTTTATATATAAAAATAACTTATTATGTCATCCAAATAAACAATATCTCCAGGGGTGCAACCGCCTAATCAGACCTAACTCTTATTATTCTACTACTAACAACTACTACACACGATTCTAGCCAAAGGATACCTACTACATCATAGCGCGGTAATGGCGATATTAACTATAATTTTTCTGCTTTGTCATATTTTTTGGAAGATAAATTAAGATTACATGACTTAAGTTGGTCCCGCAGCTATCCAATACATAATTATCGTGCTTTTTCATGCATCCGAGTGGTTCGCACGCCGGTTTCAAGGTGTCGCCATCTCTGAGGTCCCGGGTTCGATTCCCGGTCGGGTCAATGTAGAAAATGAACTTTTCTATATTGACTCGGGTCTGGGTGTTGTGGTACCTTCGTTGTCTCAGATACTCCATAATACGGGGGCTTTAGCTACTCATCTTGGAATCTGAGCAATGTATGTGATGTTGTTAAATATTTCTTTATTTTAATATTGATTATCTCTCATAGTAGCTAAACTACGAAAATTATGTGTTTACTTCACAAAAACTTATATAAGTACGAATGTACCTATGTACGAGTATCATTCTGGACAAATCAATGGAGAAAATTAAAAATTACCATGGATTTGGTTGGTGTAGGTCAAAATACGATATCCCTATTTCGCTTTTTCTAAATTTTCCTTAGAGGATAAATAGAATAGGGCCTCAGGTGTCATATTAATTCGTACGAGTTATGCTACCCCGTCCGACTTCCCACAAACGCAATTTATAAATATTAATAGCTAACACCGTGAGCGTCGTGTCACCTTCATCGTCATCATCATAAAGGAGATGATCCAAACTCTATACATAGTTCGCTCCGCAAGTAAATCTATGCGTCACGATTATATTTGGATATCTCTGTCATATTTTAAGATATCATTACTTACTTATTACTTAAATACAGTAGCAGTGATATTAAATTATCCTAATATTTTTAGTGTTTTTTAACCAATAGAAAGATGTAGGACTAGTTACGCAGTAATCCTTCGCACTAACAAACAATATTCACGGTAAACTTTCCTTGTTTATGTCTCACGCACCGAATGTTATGGTTCATTGTATTACTATATACGTGAGAGTCGCACTATTTCTTATATTCAAAAAAAGAGTGAAGGATCATTACCTTTCCTCTTGTTGATATTGGAGAGTAGGTATAGGTATGTTGACCTTTTTAACACTAGCGAGGCGTCGATTAAGCGTGTTGTTGGTAACTTATTATTTTTAAATAACTAATATCTCTGATTGGAATATGGGTATATGTGTCATTATACTTTTTTATATGTATTTATTATTAATATATCACTCCGTAAGCAGCGAATTTATTGTGATATAAGCGAAGACCTGTAATTGGCTATCTGTTATTGGAATTTTGAAATTTGAAAATTATACTTTGTATTGTTAGCTGTTGGTCATCCAAGAGAGTAAATAAATAAATAAAATATTAAACTTGATATATTATTATTTATATAATCTTTGCACAATTATGTAAGTTTGTTTCTATTTCCCAGTATTTGTATTTATTTATAAATTCCGTATTAATTCTACATAGTAGGTACACACTGACTTCCTTACTCTATTTTATTCCTGTTGTGGGCCTGCTGGTAGAAATTTCAATTTGAAATAAGCAGTGTCCTTATACTAATGTCTGTTACATATGTTCATGTAAAATTGTATGTATATGTAAAATAAATAAATAAATAAAATTGCTTTTTCTTTCATGTTTACTTTGTCTTGAGAACACTCTATAGTTAAACTAGGTACATAAAGATAATTAAAACTTCACAAAGACTCTTTACATACACTTTGAGAGTAATGAAATAAAAAAATATTAATTTTATTATCATTACAACCATATAGCCAACTCCTCACCATTGTTTGTAGGAAATCATTTGTGTGGGTACTTTGTTGATTGTATTTTGAAACCTAGCTAGATATGATGTTTCTACATTTTGTAAATTATGTCTATGTTTTACTACTACGCTCTCATTAAGTCTCTTGAGTATTTTCATATTCAAGCATGAGCGACTCTGGTGCAGATTTGGGCCGTCTCCTTTTAGCCTTATGACACCCACAGCTGGGCATAGGCCTCGCTAATAAATCTCCACGATTATCAGTGTGCTGCTGCCCGCTTCCAGGTTTCATTTCTTTGCTCAATTGACCATAGAATGGGTGAAAAAAAAATATTAGCTTGAGCTCAATGTTGCCAGTTGGCTCGAGCTCAATGTTGCTAGTTGGTTTTGTGACTTTTCTCCCACATCTCACCAGCTAAACTGTCAAATATCTGGTTTTTCAAACATTTTTATTATACATACAAACTAATATTGGTAAACCACACTTACATATATTCCATCTCGGTCTTTACCTCAAAACTTAACTCCCAATTTTATTATTAAAACTATTTCTCGCTAACATTCTAGTAAGGCAGACCAATGACTTAATGACGTCACGTAATTATTTATTTTTGATTTTCATTGTCTTAAATTTAGCTTCAACAACCCTCCAAATTTAGAGCAAATCTGTCTACACTGCTCAAGCTCCTCCGTGCTTCCGAAGGTTCGTAAAACCCTCCACTGCGCTCTAGGCAAGTGTCATTACACACAGAGCCATCGCTCTGTGCTCATTCTCTCTATCTCATCCATTTCGATTGCTTGTGACCCAGTTGTAGAGGCAATAATGGGCAAATGATGATTAGTATTTTAAATTGAAAAATTTATGCAATTCGATACATAATACATCTTACAATGAATATATTTATCCATGAAAAAAAAAAACAAATTACTTACAAAATTATTATTTTATTACCATATTTGTAAAAAATAATCTCTTAATTATTAGTTTTCTTAAGACTACGTTAACAATCTTTATATACGTCGCTGCTTTTACAACATCGTCTGTAAATGACAAAAAAACCAAAATTTTTAGGTGGGACTAAAAATCAGAATTAATATCACAAGTCTGGAAAATGAACATATTGAACAAGTGTTAAAAATGTACTGCTTGTATTTGCGCTTTTAATAATTAAAATGAATCACATCAAACACAGAAGTAAGCGGCAGTTACGAGTATTATATCTAGTCCACCCTATCTCACGCCGCGTATCGCTACGCAAGACTTACTTCGCCAGGATCTGTATCGATACTGCAAGGTCGAATGTTTTCTAAGTATACTAATATTATAAAGAGAAAAGATTAAATTGTTTGTATGCATTAAATAGGCTCCAAAATTACTGAATAGGATTAAAAAAAATATTTCACCTATGGGAAGCTATATCATACGCAGGCGCATTCCCTGGAAAACAGCTAAAATAATAAAAATTTTCAGTTCTTACGTTCTGCAAGAAACCAGACGCGACGCATCTTGCATCAGAGATACAGCGACGCTTAAATATATGCGCGCAAATAAAATTAAATAGACGCGCAGCGTCACGCGGGGACACTTTAACGAATTCTGATTCTGGCACGAAATTTTTCATGTTCAAGTGAAAATGTTCTTCGTTCTTCCACATTTCGCTTCAAATGATTTTCCAAAGTTTAAGAACGTACGTGTTTAAATATAGTTTAGTGATCTTTTGGGAATCGTTAATTAATTAATGGAGTCACATTCGAACTGTCTTTTAAACTATTGATAATAGAACTCGTGGTCTATTTCGGGCTTCTTCTCTTTAAGTAAGCGTGGTGATAATTCCGATATTATGTTTGAAGGAATTTTATCTGAAAATAAAAACAAACATTAAAATATTACTTCAAACATTTCTAAAATTATCCACGTTAAATGAAGTAAAGTGAATATATAAAAGACTTTTTTACATTGTAAGACATAAAGAAATGAACTAAAAATCTACCTATTACTAGTTTGATATTATAACTAGTAGAAGAAACATGGTTCTTACTACCTACCACGACACACGACGTAACTAGAATAGAGTTATCAGCCTTTGGAAAGTGTCATCTCATTAGGCCGACATCTCTCAGACTCGAGAATTCTGGTGAATCTACGGCGGAGTACGGGACATGCTCTAATCTAGAAGATCAGCTCTCGTTATTTAGAATGAGGTTCCTAATGATCCAATGAGCGTCATCTAATCTAAAGTGTACCTATCTACTAATGTAAAGTGGTTTCATATTCTGTAAATATCACTCACCATTACAACGGTAGACCAGATTAGACCAGATGATCATCTCCTGTGAGAAGCAGAAGACGCCAAGCCGGCCGCCTTTGAGCGTTGTATCGTAAATATTTCCAGAATCAGCTACCAGACGAGTGTTCTCGTATATTTTAAGACGAATGAGGCCTATCTTCGGGCGATGCAGTAAACGCCATCTGTAAGCGGTCTTCTCACGCCAGCCTACGTTTCTAGGATCCTTCCATAGTAATGTCACCTGTAGATAAAAAGTACTTCATCTTGAAGCATAGTCGAAAGTAGAAGTAAAAATAGAAAAGCAAATGGGTTAGCTAACAACAACTAATTCACAATTTACACATTATGGGATCATTACTTCCAAAGATTATCCCCTACAAACAAACAAAGTTAGAAATTTTACTTATTTATAATATTAGTATAGACTGGGACACAACGATCCACATATCATAAGCAATTCAATTTCAACTTTCTAAATTAAGTCCATCAAAACCTGATGTACGCTTAATAATTGCTACTGAGAATATTAGGTCCTTACATATGAAATTGGTGTTTGGTACGGGAGAAACAATAAGTCGAATATAATATATTTATTTAATCAAAGTATAAACCATTGTTATCTATGCACTTTTGCCATCTCATAGGTAGTTCATTGATCCCCTTATAAAAAAAAACATTCTGACGGGAATCAACAAAATCTTTGAAGGCGATTTGTACTGCCCCATCGGAGTTGATTTTTTTCCCTTGCAAGAATTTATCAAAATTTCGAAAACATGGTAATCTGTTGAAGCAAGGTCATTCAGGTTAGTCAGGTTAGACATTCCAATTGAAGCCTTCTAATTTGGTAGCCGTCTGTTGTGCAGTGTGTGGTCTAGCGTTGTCGTGAAGTAGCAGTGGCGTAGAGCGATTGACCAGCCTTAGTTGTTTAACAGCTGGTTTTTCCAGCATGGTTTGCAATTGCTAACCATAGACCTCAGCCATAATCGTCTGGCCAGATTTGAGAAAACTGGTAATGAACTACACCGGCACTAGTCCACCAAACGCTTACAAGTAACCTTTTGGGGTCAATTTTCGCTTGGAGCAGGATTTGGCTAGCATGCCAGGGTCCAACCATTGCGATGAGCGCTTCCGATTATTGTGGAGAATTCACTTTTTATCACAGGTGGTTCAATGATTCGATTTAAAAGCCCTTCATTATTGTGCCGGTTAAATAATGTAACGCCGCAGTCACGGTTTGCTTCACTCAATTCGTAAGGTACCCACCTTTCAAGCTTTTTTATCATTCCAATTTGATTCAAGTGGATTAAAGCAGTTTTATCGCTAACACCGCAGCCTGGTTTGCGATGGATCCGCTTCCACAATAGCCTTCAATTCTTAATTATTAACTTGGGTCTCCGACCGATGGAAATTTCGACCTGCAGAACAAGCCCTGTTTGTTCTGCAGGTCGGAATTTCCAGAACGAAAAAGTTGCAACCAAAAACGCACTGTGTTTTCTTTTGCGACACAACGAGCATACACATCATTAACCCTTCGAGCCGAGCATTTTGCATTTTCCTCTTACATTTATACCATTTAAAAGCTTCATTCTTAAAATCTTCTTAACCTTCATTCTTAAAAGTTGGATACTTGAGTTTAAAATGAGAATACGTGGTTACACTTACCTGATCTGGTGTAGATTCTGTGTTCCACAGGGCGTTCCTGAGGGTCTTCCCAGGACCGGTTTTAGAGTTGACTAGTTTGAGTTGTATACCAGGTTCAGCGACCGCGCGGAACGGCGTCGTCTGCCAATAAGTCTGAGGATTCTTCTTCCACATCACAACATAGAATCGCTTGTTATTCTGATACCTGAGGGTAGTTTTGATTGTTATAAATATTTTGGAATATGAGTTTTAGTTTTCTCTTTACTCGAATTAACTACCATTTGTCAACTTTATTCTAGTTTAGAGGACATCCAAAGAGTATTCGGGCGGAGTAATATGGCTAACATTTACATTTTGTAGATGACAATTCCATTTCTGAGGAGTAACATGAGAATTTCATTTAAAGAACGCCGTTACAAACTCTATCATGGTACTTAACGACTCTTAACTTCAATATGATAAATGAATATGAGTCGAAATTAATATTTTTTTCTGAACGGCTTATAGACTCTAGATGAAATGCAACTCGATCGTAAATTACATACGTAATTTTAGATTAAGTTGGATCTGATTCCAAGAATACATTTCTCAGGAATTAGCACAGTACGACACGACTTACCCAAATATGAAACCGACGTAGTCGTCGTCGATCTGAGTGTCCACGAACAGTGTCCCCTCGAAGTCTACTCCGCCGAAGTACTCAAAACCGACAGCTAGACCGGGGTCTGAGTTGAGGGTCTGCAGAATCTCCGCTCCTTCGTTGGCCACTGACCAGTTGGGGTCTTGTTGGGACTCGCCTTCAGGGTCTAGTCGAACTGTCATATATTTCCTGTCAGTACATTTAATTATTAGTTAGTACATTTAAATATACAAAACATGACATGCACAAGATTTATTTTATGAAATTAATGTCTTTATAAAAACTCGATCATTATGATATTTTTATAATTTACAAAATGTATATTTAAAAATTATTGTTATCATAAGTGATTTTATAATCAAGGGATTTATAAGATATTTGTACTTGCATTCCTTTTTTATTGTTTTCCAAAAATGATTACATGCTGCTATTATTAAAAATATTAAACAAAAATCTTTACATTAAAAACAAGAACTGACTTCAATCTTTAAAAATGTGTTAAATAACACTTATCTCCAAAGCGATTTATTCAAGAAAATGCTATCGACGTCGGGCGGAGGTTTTCTGTAGGTTTTTAAATAAATAATAGGCATACAAACATACTCGTTAAACATAAAAAAAAATCGTCCTTTCAGATTTCGAATGAATTCTAAACGCAATCTTCTGTTTTTTAGCTGAAATGGGCCATGTCATACATAACATATTATATTATTATTTTGGTGATATCTCGTTGGAGAGCCTATTTTGTTTGTTACAAAAGGGAAACTACTTAATTTCTTTGATTGATTTGAACCTTATATTACTACTTCTACGGTCTCCCATAAATATTACCTGAAATCGGTGCGATGTATCAGCGAATTATTGGGGCAATTGTCTAATTCATTGATCACCTTATCACCGTCGTTGTCATTATCACAAGCATCACCGACACCGTCCCCTGAACATTCACAACAATATTTATCAGACATTTTTTTTATCACAGATTGTAAACAATAGGAAAATAAATCATTACACAAACCGGAAGCATGACGCGAAGTCCGAACGTTTTGTCTACACTCAAATGTCACTCTTCTCGGGTCAATATTCGTTTTTGTCGAATTTTTCATGCTACAGTTTATATCAGATCAGCAAGTACTCAAACGCAAGTTTTAATCGGTCACGGATGATGCGAATTCGACATGCGATGGTACATATTAAGGCTCCTTGCTATGCTATATTATTGTTTATTGGTTTTTTAGTTTCAGGTTTATTGATTTCAGCAATTGCTATTAGAACTCTAACGAAAAATTACAACTATGATTTCACAAATGCTTCTTTTAAGCATTGCTTTCACTTCCGTTTGACTTTATAAGCTTGAGTAGCAAAATCGCATCGTTTGCTCTTTGAATCGTAAGCAATTAGGATCACGACACATTTAAGAATGTAATCTTAAATTACTATATAACATTAAATTACACCTATTTGATGAGTTATTCAAATTTTTTATTTACGGAATATTAGGAGTATTATTGCAATACGATATATTTAATATGAACTTTTGATTTAGATAGGTAGGACTTACTATTGCTGTCTCTCTGGTCTCTATTAGCGACGATTGGACAGTTATCCTCATCATCATTGATTCCATCACCATCATCGTCATCATCACACGCGTCTCCTTTGCCATCGTTATCCACGTCCAGTTGGTCACTGTTAGGGATGTAAGGACAATTGTCCAGGCCATCTTGAATACCGTCCCTGGGAAAGTGAGTTATAAAGAATTCATTCAATATAAACTGATGCTTGCTGATGGATATTTCTAATATTGTAACAATATTTTCTATGATTCTTTTATGATATTTGAGATTCGGGTCTTTAGGTTAGGAATAAGGCAAAGCTCAGACAATCTACAAATCGACAAAGTAGTTTTTATTGAAATACTAATCTAGTAAAAAAACTTTACTTTTACTTTTACAATTTCTGTTCATAATTCATGTTTTATTGATGTTATTATTTTGTAAAATTATTGACAGATATGATAATAAATTAAAACAGATGCCTTTTCAGGATTAAGTGTATGTGTACTCTACATATCCTGTATAAGCGCACTTACTAGCAGACTGTATCATGCGTCTATCACTCCATACCCGTCAGCATCGCCTCTTACATTCAATAAAGATCTCTTTAGTTCAATCTTCACAGAACGTTCGTGTTTTCATGCCTCTAATTTGGATTATGCTTGCGATGCGTCACCACTTTTCGATCTTTGGACTATGCAGGTTTTGGTTGAGATCTTTATCTATCAACAAAGATATGTGTGTATTTACTTACTGATCGCGATCCACGTCGCTATCGCAAGCATCACCTACTCCATCTCTATCAGCGTCATCCTGCGTGGGATTACGTACACGGGGACAGTTGTCACACACATCGCCTGTACGATCACCATCAGTATCCTCTTGCCGGGGATTATACACTCGTGGGCAGTTATCTTCCTCATTGCGTATACCTTCGAAAATACATTAAGTACTTTTAGTAACAAAGTAAATAAAAATTTTACGGATGAAAAATTACAAAAAAGTTAAAAGTGTGGATTATTCTGGTCCCCTTGATCTTTACTAGGGCGGTAATCATAATTTATTTTGTCTCTGTTGCTATTTAACTTTTTCACACATCTACACTTCATGGTTAAAATCCCATCTCAGCTGCTGTCAGTTAAGTCAGGTTAGCTATTGCGCAATAACTATAGATTTTCAATACATAAAGTATAACTTACACTGACCTAGGTTAGCTGATTAGCAATTGCGAAATAAATATGGATTTTCAATCTCAGATTCAGTAGTAACACATAACTTACCATCGTTGTCTATATCTGGGTCGCAAGCATCTCCCATGCCATCATTATCAGTGTCCTCCTGCTCAGGGTTATATCTCTTTGGACAGTTATCACACACATCCCCTCGTTTATCACTCTGGTCCTCGTCTCTATCTAATTGATCTGCATTAGCCACGAGGGGGCAATTATCCTGAAAAAGAAATAGTAATAATTAGAAAAAAAAAATATGTTAACCTTCAAAATTTATTAACTGTAGTATAAGTTAACTCACCGGGTGATTAGGGATTCCATCACCATCAGCATCAGGATCGCAAGAATCACCTTGACCATCGCCGTCCGCATCTTCTTGTCCAGAGTTGGAAACCAAAGGGCAATTGTCCGCATTGCAGCGAGGTTCAGAACAACTCAGCTTGTGATCAGGATAGCCATCATGATCAGTGTCGGGACCACAGACTGTACCATTTCCAGCGTAACCAGTCTACAATATAAATATAGTATATAAATAAGAAAATATAAATTACTCAGACCACACGTTAAGAAGTTAAGTAAAGTTCTTATATTATAAAAAGCTGGATGAACGAAAGCGCCACAACGCCCAACCGAGAGAAAATATAAAAAACTAATTTTCTATATTAACCGAAACGATAATAAAGCCCAGGAGCTCTAATATGGAACAACGTGAAACCGCCATACCATCTGACTATGGAATCTTTATTAATTAAAACAAATATTTTCTAGTTTTTATTACAAATATTTAGTTAGTCATTTATCATATCATATAAATTATTAAATCAAACATTTATATTGATTTACAATGACTCTGTTAAATCTTTATTAAATTAATTTTTTGGTATAAACAAACATCGACTAAAAATTTTAATACTTTTACACTTGTATTAGGAATTTTTCAGCATTAGTGTTTGTTATACGAGTAAACAACTTTTTGTTTTCAAAGTTAGGTTTATTTAATTTCAAATATGTATTATGTTCGCGATATTATAATAGTTACTGTAACATGGTTATAATCTCGTAGCACATATCGACGTCGTAGCATGTAATAGACACCCGTAGCAGCTCAGTACTCACCGCACAGACGCACTTATATCCGTAGCTGCAAACAGCGTTGAACCGTTTACAGTAGGCGGGGTCACAGCGCTGAGTCAATGCTTCAGCCTCGTCGAAATCAAAGCACGGCCTTGTTGTGTTTACGTAGTAGTTGCCGCCGCATGGCACACATATATACGAGCCCTGAGAAAAATATCGACCATATAAATAGTGGTTAATATGTGTATCATCCATTGTTTCTACGAACACTATTATCGGAAACTCTTTATTCAGTTTGACCACTACTGTTTAATTAATTGATTGAGCGAGTCATTCCGCTCCATAGGACACAAATTAGCTAAGAACAATATATTATAACTGAATTAATATACCCTAGAAAAACAAGTTTCTATGTATTATATGACGTATGATATCTTCATGTTCCATGTTTTATACTGACTGGTGTATTGACGCACAATCTTCCACGTGGACAACTGGCCCTGCCTTCAGCGCACTCATCTATGTCGACGCATGTCTCCCTCCTCGGTTCCCGTCCGGAGCCTCGCCAACCTTGTCCGCCTTCGTACCCCACCGGACACGGCCCGCACGTGAACCCACCGTCCTCGTTCCGGCACGACACCAAGTCATCACATGGCCTGATCAGATCGCACTCGTCCATGTCCACGCATGCATAACCTGACAGTTGGAAAGATAATTTCTCATTAAGTAATTAGTCTACACTATAGTCTGCTCCTACAGTAGGCAAATAAACGGACAATGACACCAAAAGCGAGTGAGTGAGTGACGACAGAAAACAACACTATCGTTTCCTTTCAGTGGACTTTGCGATTAGAACGAATTTAAACGTAGTGATGTCCACTCAAAATGCTGCTTCCATTAAAATTGCAGTGCAATTTCTCTTATACAAAAAGACACTTAAAAATATTTGACGTACAAACATATGACTTAAAATCCACTTTACATTTTCATGGTTGGTATTGAAAATAAATAAGTAAGTAGATGATCATCTATAGAGTTATGGATTGAATCATAAGGAAGAACAAGCCATGCGGGCATATTAAGAGTTGGTCGGTGGTAACGACTGCAGATGAGACCGACAGCTTAAGGTATATCAAAGCACGGAGTTACCGATCCTTGACAACATTGGTTAATCTGCGTATCGTCTATGATACGCAGAACTGCGAAGACCGAATGTGTTAATACTTCGCAATCTTTAAAATTCCCACTGACATTTATGATTTAAATATCCTAAAATGTTAACCCTGAAACACGCAGGTCATGTCATCGCAACAAGATCACATAATAATCTCTTCTATTTGTTTTCGAACGAAAATTCGGAAAAATATCGAATCGTTCTTTTTATTATACTTGGTGGAACACAACGACCGACACTCCAGAGTTTCCTGGAGAGTTCTATTTGTCTTTAATATGATGTAAAAAAATTGTATATCTAGGTCAAATAGTTTCGAAGATATTAAATTACAAAGTGTTTGGAAAAAATGAGTGTTTTCAACCTTGACTCAGCTGTTTTTGGGACGTACTAAAGAAATATGTTAATCGGTCATTGACTTCTTCATTTCTAAAAACGAAATAAACTAGTTTGTGATTTCAAAACTCAAACTCATTTATTGCTTTCATGTGGTGAAACAGATGTTGTTTTTTTTATGTACCTTGACATGAACCCTGATAAGGGCACTGCAACAATAGTAACATTAAACTATAATTATCATAAAATCAAATTAAATATAATATAAAGTATGTATCATGCATAACAATAAAATAATAACAAAATTAAAAAGTTTTTTTGCATCCAAATTGTCATTACTAATATACTGTTATATAATTATATTTAAAAAAAAAATTCACTGTTTATATATAATTATCAAATTATAAATTAAAATTTAAAGGGGTGGAAATGAATGTATGGAATTACTTCCCGTGTCACTGAAAAACTCCTGTAGCGAGTAGTAGCATTTTTGTGATAGATATTTTATTAGGTTATTTTTGAAAACATTAATGTTTTCGATTACTTTTATAGTGTCGGGAATAGCGTTATATATCTTGACGGACATAGAATATGGTCCTGTGTTTACCATTTCTAGTTTTGATACTGTTTTTTCCAGCTTGTATTTAGGTCTTAACCTCGATGGGCGGGACTGTATAGGGTATAAATTTATATTTTTTTGAACTGCTAGACCTTGTTGCAAAATATATATAGATGTAAGAGTTAAAATATTAAATTTTTTGAAAGAAGATCGGCAGCTAGTCTAAGAATCTATATTTGCAAGTATTCGGATACATTTTTTCTGTAGGGTAAATGCTTTTTTAGCATCAGTACTGTTGCCCCAAAGCGTAATGCCGTAGCTGAGCCAAGCATGTGCGTATGCATAGTAGGCAGAAGTAGCAGTTTGAAGATCTGTAGATTTTTTTAATTCCGAAAGAGCATATGTAAAACTAGACAATTTACTAGTAATTTTTTTTACGTGTTCTTTCCAGTTTAAATTGCTGTCTATAATTATTCCTAAAAGACTATAGGAATCGACTGTTTCTAAAAGTTTATTATTAAATTTGTAATTAACTTCTAAGGGTTTCCTTTGGTGTGGCCTGAATTGCATCAATTTTGTCTTTTTTAAATTAATTTCAAGGTTATGATACTTAAGCCAACTAGTTATCAATGCAAAATTGGAATTTAATAATTCGTTTAATTGTGTGGTATTTTTACATGGTATTATTAAGGATACGCCGTCTGCAAAAAGGATACATGGAATATCTAGCAGACTGGGCAAGTCATTAACGTAAATTAAAAATAACAGACATCCGAGGACACTACCTTGGGGAATGGCATGATTTAGAAAAACTTTGTCAGATCTCAAAATTTTTATTTGTCCAGTTTGATGGTCATAGGACTCTATGTCAACATATTGAACTCGTTGTTGTAAATATGATGTAAACCACTCGTGTGCACTACCTCTTATTCCTATGTTAGAAAGCTTACTCAGAAGGATTGGATAAGAAACCCTATCATAAGCTTTACTCAGGTCTAGCAAAACACCAACAGCGTGCTGTTTATTGCCAATTATTTTCAATAATTCATTGACATATGAATTTACTGCCAGTCCTGTAGAACGTCCTTTACGAAATCCATACTGATTGATATGGAATATTTGATACTTCTCACAATATGAGTAAACCCTTTTATACATAATTGTTTCGAATATTTTTGAAAAAGAAGTAAGAAGCGCTATTGGTCTGTAATTATTGCAGCAGGTTTTATCGTCTTTTTTATGTAGTGGTTTAACAATGCTTACTTTTAGTAGTTCCGGAACAAATCCTTGGGCAAGTGACTGATTTACTAAGAATGAGAGTGGCTCTGCAAGTTCATTTGCACACGATTTTATTAATGCCGGTGGTATTTCGTATTTAGATTAATTATTTATAAGACCGCTTTCATGCAAATTCTACCAGACAATCAATAAACAAGGCAGTCAAAATGCTTAAATCGATTTACAGACTAACAGCCGGATTCTGATTTAAAAAAGAAAAAAAACTCTACTGCCAATTCTCAATAACCTGAGTTTTTTTAATTTCACAAGTCAAAAAGTCTTAGTTTTATATTTGTCAAATCAAATGAATGTTTGCATGTAACCTAACTTGAAACTTTCAGGTGTGTCGGTCATTTTGTTGCTCCCAGTATTCATATCCGTGAGAATTTTCAGTGCAACAGAGGCAGTATGTCCTGCCACCATCGCATTGTAAATTATCGAAGAATGCGATTCTTTGGAGTCGTATTAGCAATTCGTAAATAGACAACAATTCGTAATCGTAGAAAAAGAATAGACCTTCAGGTGTTACGTTTGTTTGTGGTATTTATTATATGGATTTTTAAACAGAACATGTTAATTGAGAACACACAGTCTTACCATTCCATTCGTATCCCCTAGGGCATCCTTCGCATTCGTAAAAGGGGCTAGTGTTCTTCGGTCTGCAGGGTCTATTGTTGCAGGGGCGATGCGTGTCACATACGTGTTGGCACCGTATTCCATCCCCGGAGTAACCTTGAGGACAGGACCCACAGCGAGGTCCAGATGAAGTCACATGACATTCCACTCCTGCTCACAATAAGATTTTAGTAATTATTTAATGTATATTATCATATTTTAAGTTTATGTCTAAGTTGAACCTTAAAAACGCTGTTAAAGCAATTTTCACATCATGATCACAGAATTTCTTGAGAAAGATACGAGTACTTTGATGTTAACCTTCTTTTGCTTTTCAAAGTATTTTTTATAACGCCAAAAGGAATGTCGAAACTTATTCAACAAAGTAAAAACGCTGATGGGTAATGAATTGATTAGTTTTTAATAAAATCTTAGGCTGTGAGCTCTCACAATTATTTCTCTTCGCTAGCGTTGACTCAATGAAAATTGGCGCCGCCGTAGGCAAAACACTGGGAGTTGACGCCCACAAAAAATCATAACAAAATAAAAGCCTAATGCAGATACGATTAAAGAATGTAATTTTGCCATTGACAATTAAAAAAAAAACTACTTATGTACTGCTTGTCTGAAAATGTACTTTTGAATATCGCGAACATGGACTCATGTTCAAAGAACAAGTTCATTTTTTACTTACAGCATTTTTAACGGTCAATTAAGTAGAGCAAACAATCTGTAGCCTTATATATAATATTTGCTTATATGGATGGTCCGGCTTTTCTCTTTGCATAACATAAATATAATAAAAAAACTATTTTACCTAATTTGAAAGTTGTATCGTTTAACAAAAATTACATAAAGATAGGTATTGAAACAATGTCAGATTGCCTGTCATATCAGATTGATTTTTAAATGACTTAACTATTTTCAGGGATTTTTAGGTGATATGTGGGACTGCTGAAATACTTTTTTTTACCTTGATAACATGAAATTTGATTGCATGTAATTTTGTAGCACTGTTCACCGTTGCCGGTGTAACCTGACGGGCATGCTCCGCATTGGTAGCTTCCGTTGGGCAGATCTTGACAACTTACGCCTAAAACAGTTCAAGAAAAAGATGAAAGTGAATAAAACCGCTTTAGTCAATGTTTTCTCTAAAAACGTCATATTGGTAGCAAAAGAAAACAAAGAGGGGTCGTTATGATTCTCAACTGAATGCCAACTAATAATATTATACATACGTCCTCCGAAACAAGGATTGGCACTGCATGCTGAGATGCAGGTCTCTCCGTCGCTACTCTGGCCGTTCGGACACCTGCTGCAGCGGTAACCTCGATCAGTGTCAGTGCAGTATTCACCTACAATTGAACCAAGAATATAATTTTCACAGTAAATACGCGGTAAGTAAAGACAATTATCAATCTCGTTAGGTAATTATCATTGAGGCTTTGTAGCCCAAGTTTCGAGGCACTGCGTTAATAAAATACGGCGCTGCGTAGGTATAAGCTTCATATGGCGTGTAATAATTGTAATTAGTCAGTATATTTCATCTATTACTTGCATGACAATTACATGGTACGGATATAGCAGGGTTGGTGTACTAATCCGTAGTTAGTTGGTGTACTAATCCGTACTTATATTATAAATGCATAAATACTCTGTCTGTGTCTGTGTCTATTACGTTTTCAAGTGGTGGGGGCACTTTAACATTAGATGGGGTGAAAGTACAATATGATCGTGCACTTTATAGTACATATTGAGCATTCTACAAACAATATAAGACCTGTTTACCTTTACTACATGGTTTCCGGTTGCAAGTGATGGATTGACACCGTCTACCGTCACCAGTCATTCCAGACGGACAGGAGTCACATTCAGGTCCTGATGCGGTATTACGGCATTCCACGCCTGTTGTCACATGCAGAAAGTTTTATCTATACCTAATAATAAAGTACTGTAGCCAAATAAGGCTCATTGTTTTCAATCGCTACAGTAGAAACCGAAACATTAATCACATTTTCCATCCTTACGGATCCGTTAACGCAGGACTAATTGAGACGTATTTTAATTAGCTTTTAAGCACTATAGCAAAAAAGAATCGTTGGCCTTCTTAGACGGTAACTTATTTTAAAGAGGTAAAGTTTCTAACTTTGTTCGTACATTTGACTGTAGGAGGTAATATGTGGAATTTGCGATTCCTTAAAATCCAAACCCGAATTCAAATTCACTCAGTTGTTCGAACTCACTTTAAAAAACGGCATCACTCTTGAATTGGTAATAACGTTTCGCGGCATAAGTAATTAAGTTTCGAAATGACATAGTAATAGAATATCCGAGACACGTATAATCAATCAACTTTGTTTTTTATGCTTCATACAAAAATGGAATTAAAAGAATTGCTTCAATAAATGACGTGAATGCGGAAATAAACACAAGAGTGAGTGAGAGAATTTGGGTTCGGATTTTTACAGAATCGCTGTGCAGATTATAAAAATTCTTTCACCTGTGAGAGCTATATGTTACGCGTATGACATAGCTATAATTTGCGATGGTGAACAACTACTTTTCTATCGTTCATAACCCTCAAGTACGTTAGATGCAACTAATGGGGCTTTCTGAAGCACAGAAGGCTAAATCTCGAAGTGCGGCTAATGTTTGCCAACTAGAATGATTCAACCCAGCTGTTAGTGTTACATTTTACAGCTTATATTTGTTGAAAGACGTCTTACTATAATTTAATGGTACGTTTAGAATTGATAGATCTGCTCTGCGCATACGAAGATTCACCATACGCCATATTAATTGCAAATAACTATTATTGAATACTCTCCTGACTGGTTAATAGATTGTAACTTTTTTAATTTATAATGCGTTAGGAAATGCATTACTGCATATATTGGACCTAATATAAGCGTATATGTAAATGTGATTGCTTTTTCAATGCAAAAGACTATTTTAATACCGTCGTTATTGTCATTAAAGCTTTCATTTTTTAACAAAATGTTATTGTTGCCAATGCACAGCCAACGCCGCTTCAGGTTATACAAATCTGACAAATTTTTCAACTTAATCTAAACCATAATAATTTGAAGGTAGAGTTTAAAATGAACTGGAAAATTTTGATTGAATTTGGTAACCAGACATGCAGCCATACGTATGCTAAATGCGCACGCGAGCTAAATATATCTGACGCTTAGGAGTTATCTATCTATACATATATTACTTTAACAATAAGTCTATTAATATTTTATTCATAATTTTATCTCAATAACAAAGGTCCAAATTAACTAAAACAATTCATTGTCTCAATTTATTATTCCATTTGCCTACAGAACGCTGTCACCCACTCAACATGATTTAAAAACATTATTCATAAATTATTGAGGCATATATCCACGTTAGCTATGCGTATGTTTGAATTTATAATAAAAGAGAATGACTCGATATTTAAGTATTTATTATTTAATAATTAAAACAACGAAGCGCTTCGATAAAACTTAGGATAGTGCCATTACGCTTAGTTTGGCTAATAGGAATGGCAGGCACTGCCTTAGCCCTAGATTGTTATTGGTTAAATAATCTTTTTTTTTTAAAGTCCCGTAATACGATCAAGGCTGGATACGGATATACTTTGTCACTTGACACTTATATGAACCCATCCTAAGGTTGATCAAGCAACTCTACTTTCATACTATGTCCTTGATGTGGACGTCAACGCGGAACTTTAAAGACAACATGCAAGGTGTTAAAGTTAAAAATGAAACGCGAATTTATCCCATAATAGTTTAATGAAGACCCACAAAAGTTGCTTGATAAACCTTATAGCTAATGTTATACAAGATGAAAAACTAAACTAAGCACAAAAGAAGCTAAGTAAGAAGACTTAAGTAATATCAGAAATGTTATTACAAGAAAATTAACAAAAGAAGAAATAATTATTATATGTAAATTTGTGGTTTTTTTTTACAAAAGGGATTTGATATGGTGAACCTAAGAAAAAAATAAATGTGCATTCAAAATAAGTGTAAAGGGTGATTGGTCTACACGGTCGCAAATCAGCATCCAAACAATGGTCTAGTTGCCAACGGTCTATATAGCAGTTGTTAACCAAATTTCGAAGACAATACCACTGAAACTGAATTTTCACCATGGTTAGATGCAACAATTTCCACAGCCAACACTGAGTTACAACCGTGAAACACACTTAAGTTACAGTTGCAGTATAAGTTTTGGCTAATAACCCGGGTAGCAGGTAGAGGAGGTGCATCGCTCTGGCTGCGGTCGGGTGCAGCATTGACGCAGCTGACCGCGCAGAGCTTCTATAGTGCCACGCTGATCAGCCACCACTCGGTGTAGCTGCTCGATACGGACTGACAACTGCTGCAAATGTCGGATCACTTCATCTGTAGATAAATTTAGTCATAAAATTATTATTAAATAAAGTTAAAAAATATAGTGGTTAGCGCGTTTTGTCTACAGCTCGTTTATAGAATAGCTGACCAATTTTTGATCTCAAGCTTCTCTGTTCTTTAAAAGGTACGTAAAGCCGTTGCTCACGGCTGCATCGGCAGTCGTCATCCCACTTATTCACCCTGGGCCTGCGTGGTGGATAATGGCCCATTTTTCCTGTTCGATTGAATTCCATCAATAGGTATCTGTGCCCTAGTATTGAGGACATTAATGGGTTTATAAAAATGATGAAAATTAGGAAATATATTGAGAGTAGACCTTTCAGTATGTTTTCTAACGCTCATCTATCTACAGCTCCACCTCTATCTATTGATTTATTTTTTGTGTATTTATTTAATCTTTATTGCATGGAATAGCAAACGACGGACTTAATGCCAAGGGCATTCTCTACCAGTCTACCAGACAGAAAGTAGGAAGCAAGATGTATGGCGATAAAGAAAGTAGAAGTACTAAATTGATGTGTCATAATTAGGCATTTCATGCTGACAGATTAGCTGTCAGGATATATCCCCACTTGCACCCCCATGATCCAGCCCTGATTTTACTATATTGATTTAGATACAACTACTAAGAACTTTTAATTACTATTTCCAAGTTTAGATCTATAAATCATTTAATTTTCTCTGTCTGTAATTACTAAGAAAGTTTCGAAGCTAAAAGAACTTTACGGGAAACTACTAATGATACCTATTCACTTCTAAATTATTATTAATTATTGTCCTAAAATAACATGAAACTAAGGGGCAATAAAGAAGCTATTTTCATAGTAAACTATGGATGGAATCAAATACGGAGAATGCCATAACCCATCACGTAGGCTCAGTGCAGAATAGTGGGTGTTAACTACTGGAGAAGCAGCCGGTACCAACGGCTTAATGTACCTTCCGAATCACGGAGGAGCTCAGGTAATAAATTTGATAAATTTTTGGTCACTCATTCTATGACCAGCGACTGGGGAAGTCGCTAAGCGCGCTCCACCCGCCATCGAGGTCCTTAAGACATATTCATTATATATAAATCTATTTTTTTTTCATTCTTTATCACACATCTCTCTCCTCCATCTGCTTAATTTAAACTCGAAAAGAACAGCTGTGTGTAAAAGTCGATTGTAATTTATATTGTACTTAGTCTATTTATTTCGGTAAATGTCTGGTAAGAGAAATCTAAAATCGTTTAATTATTCCATATTAAATAATATACATATGAAAGTAGGTCTGTGTATGTCTGTTGCGCTCTCATGCCTAAACCACTAAACAAAGCTGACTTGAGTACATAGCATATAGGTTGCTTTTTATTGTGATAAAAGGCTTGATTTGAATTATATGGAAGAAACGTTATGTATCAATTTTAAAGTACTGGTATTTAAATCAACAAAACTTTGTAAAATCGGCAGGAGAACTCTCCAGTTGGAATGCGGGATGCGACAAGGTGGAATAAGCTCACCTACCGTTTTCAATCTGTACATGAACAAGCTGATCTTTGAGCTCAGCAGCGCTAGAGTCGGCTATTCTATAGACGGTACGTGTGCCAATAACATTAGTTATGATGATAATATTGTGCTATTGCGACCATCGATTAGTCTCAAAAAATCTCGAAAAATCTCATTGGTATCTGTGAGCGATTTGCGAGGTCCCATAGCCTTAGGGAGCGTAAGAGACTGTATGTTGGGCGCATATGATTTCCCACAGATTTGCACGTTGTACCAAACAAGTTAAAATTAGTATTTTTAAAGCCATTTTGCCACTCACTGTACACGTGTAGCCTATGGATAGATTATACCCTATGAGCCTACGGAACCCTGAGTACCTAATATCACAATGTGATGGGGCTGCCTCGACACTGCAGTTCATTGGGAGTGCTAGCAGAGGCGAGAGTTGACGGTTTCTCAGTTGTTATAAAGCGTATCGCATCCCTGGTCCATCGGGTGAGGGGCAACTTCAATAGTAAACTGATGACAGTCGCGGCGAGAATGGACGTGGACAATACAATTATGCAGCACTGGACACGCGTCCATCTCGCCAAAGACACAAAACTGAAGTAACATAACTTATAAGTAAATTGTTACTAACATTATGGATATGTCCGAAATTAATTAGCTGAAATAAATTACTAAAACCTCCTCTTAAGTACGTCACAAAATAGAACGCGCAGTAGTCTGTATAAATATCACTCTTTTCTAACAAAAAAAAAAATATTATATTTTTCATTAATAATAAAAAACTTTGATTATTATATTCGATCAATTTTGCATTCACAATGCTATAGTGGAAACCGAAAGGTCGTGGTTTCCAATCCCATCTCGGAAAACCAGGGCCAAAGTGGATTTTATAAGCTTTAATCATTAAAAAAAATGAAACTTTATCAAGTGACGGCACTGCTTTCAACGATGAGCTCGAGGTTTTTAACAGCATAGATTAAAAAAGAGCCTCTAAACATCGCATATTCAGGTCAAGTAATTTTGGACATTCATTAATCCAATGTAAACTGTTCTAATAGGAAATTAATCTTCTTAGCGAGAACGTAATCATGATAAGGGGATCAAACTAAATTCTTTTATCTTGTTTGAGTACACTGAATTTTTCGCCTTGTAATATTGGATCAATTATTGCATCTGGAGATAAAGCTGCCTTTGCCCTTTTTAAAATGAAGTAGAAGTTATATTTATGTTACCTTTCTAATAGTAATATATATTAAGATATAACTGAGCAATTATTTATGATAACAATGCCTTAACAAATTTTTTCAATAAAGACTTTCACGTTTAATTACTGTATAATGATACTTTTAGTACGACTATACTAGACATAAAGATTTTTAAAATATTTTTTTTTAGATTATAATATAATATAAAAGTTATAATTTATAATTTAAAGATTTATATTGCTCCCCAATATTATATACTATGCTATCACAAACATCTGCAAATGCATATGTACACAATAACGCAAAATAAATATTATAATTCCATTCATAACATCCGTATCAAATTCGATAATACTTTCGACTAAATTCCACTACAACAGCAACACACTTAACGCTATCTAATTATGACCTAGATTTATGCAAATTCCAAAATTAAAACAGTTTGATTCATATAACTGTACCAATAATAATAAACTTAATTTCTTACCATCGCAAGTTTCGATGGCATTTGGCGGAATATCTCCCCGTTGTGTAGCTGGTGTCGGTAATATTCCATTATAGTCAATATAACCTCTAGCATCATCGCCCTGCATTTCTTCTCTCTTTCTTCTAGCATCTTTCTCTACAAAATCTTTCACTTCTTCGACGTCATCATCGGAGAGTACTGTAGGAGGTCTTATTTCGGGGTTGCAGTTTAATGAATCCAAAGCTGCTTGCTCATCACCGAAAATTTCTACCGGCGCATTCTCTTCATGGTACTGTATATAAAAAAAAGGATAAACATTATTTCTTTCTAAATTTATAATGGAATAATTACTCTATTTCAGACAAAATATTGTCTAAAATTTGGAAAAGAGTATCAGTTAAAAGATAATTTGTTTGGATTCAAGAACAGCAATAGATTTAAACTCATTTCAATATTCTTGAAACCATGAAGACAAATCATCTTATGATGACATCTTTATTAGTTCGAACGTGCCTAACGACCTGTTATCATTGATTGGTAGGATAATAATAATAACAACGCAATTACGTTTTGTGAAAACGAACTTATTTAGGAAGCTTAAAATTTTTCAAATATGGTTTTGGAAATAATCCAAATGTTATAATTCCCCAATTAAAATTTTCTTTTTAACACAAACCTTTGTAGGAACAGAGATTTTATATAGATACATGACACGAGACTTAAATCATATTAGGTTGCGTTCCCATTGCCATCATCAGATCCAGGTATTATGACATTAGACGCTTATTTGCATAAGCATCTTTTTCAGTGATTCTCAAATTTTATTTTTTACTTTCTGCCTTTACTGAGATAACTAACAATGTTTAGTTGTTCAAGTTGCGATTGCCAATTTACCAAGGGCGCTAACATGTGTAATGACAGAAATGAGCTATCGGAAATTAGAAGACAGAAATATCTTGCGATGTCCTAAATGCAATTCAATTCCATCCCCATCCGTGATTGCTGGTCATCCAAATTCACTTCAACGTAAGTGTTTATATATGAAAACCGGTTACTTTGTACATTTATACCATATTTAGTTACAACACTAGTTATATCAATACTGTATGTTTTCCATAGAAAATAAAATAATCAAAAAATATTTCGGACCAAAATCATTGTCACAACTTAAACGAGTTCCACTCGATGGGGTCGCTTCGTTAAATTTCAGATATGGTCAACTTCCAGCTCCATCATCAGTCAGACCAGCTTTATTCTATACTAACTTTTGCCCACTACTTCGTTTGTGTGGTATAGTTATTTTGAATAGCATTTCTTAAAACGTTGTAACAAATTCTTAATAATCATTATAAATTGTGTAAAATTCCATGATTTCAACTTTGACAATGACGAACTTCCATACAACCTTTTATTCCTGATTTCAACCATCTTATCGCAATAAAAAGCAACCTATGTCCTATCTCAAGTAAAATCTATTTAGTGGGTTAGAAAATTAATAGCGTAACAGACATATATTATGCAGACCTACTTTCGCTATATAATATTAGTATGGAATAATGATATGATTCTTTTTGTCGCTCATTATATCATATAAAAAGAGATTACTGACAACTGGGTAAAACATCTAATAAGGCGGCTAGTCTTATAATAGAATAGCGCCATTCATTTTGCAATATCTTTCTACAGTGCGGCTGTACAAAGCTCTGAGAACTGGCTAAGTGTCAAGGATTACGATACGAAACACAATTATTAATTTTATTAATAGCAAAATATCCGTGATATTTGAATAAAATTACTTTTGATTTCAACTTCGAAAACAACAACAGCCTATATTTACTCATTTAAGGTACAACAACAGTTATACACGTAAATAACCAACTAATATCCAATATGATTTAGTGAGATGGAAAGAAAAATACAAACGTAAAGTTTATAGGTACAAAACTGTTCCTATCCCACTAAAAAAAGGTGACTTGAGATAGGACGTAGGTTGCTTTTTATTATGTATGGAAGTTCGTCATTGTCAGAGATAAAATCGTGACAGTTTATATTCAGGTACGATTAATATTTGTTTTAGCGTTTTTAGGAATGCTGCCCGAAGTAACTATATCACGCGAACGGTGTCGCGAGTAAAAGCTAGTTATAATAATAAAAGCTTATAATAAACTCACAGGCCTTACCGTCTATCTGTTAGTATACATTTAATTCTACTTACAAGTTTAAGCTTATGATTGCTTAGCAATGTTAGCAGATCATGTTTATTGTGCATGACGTGCGAGTGGAGAGCGTGACATCCCACGAACAACTTGACTCTATCAGATGTCACCACCAGAAGAAGAGTGGTTCTGGCATGAGTACCGAGACCCCATGATACCGATCTCAAACTGCCACCGTGGAGACTCTCCAAAGAAACTGAAAACCATACCATTTCGTTAATTATATTATAATAATAATCTCCTATTAATATAATTTTATCAATAATCACAAGAAAAAACACAAGACCTTTCTTACAGGTTCTCTCATTGTAAGTTTTTCCGTTATAGATATAGATACCTACTTACAAATATATAGCAAAAAGTTTCTACTTTACAAAAAATGTTCACAGCCTCTAGGCTACCGACTCAGTCTACTGAATATACGAATCAAAATTTTGAATATGAACGTAGAATATGTATAATGGAATAAAAAAAATGCGTATTTCAATTCATGAATATGTTCTAACCATTTTCTATTGCAAAGAAAGAATATTTTGAAAGTTGGAATAAAATTCCAACTAAATTGATTACCGTCGATTAAAAAATTATAATTTAACGAGTTAATATCAAACGCAAAACCACATTCGGTTGGAGTGCAATGGCCATCTGACAATATTCCAAAATGGATATCATAAAATAATCGTTTGAAGTAATCGATATTATCATAATCGAAAACTTCTAACTTATGTTAAAACAAAAAACATAATTTTCGTATTAAAAACAAGCTTTTATTGTTTATGCAAGTATTATATTGGACCAGAGATCTTGTATAGACAAATAAACTAGCCAAAACCCTCCAGCCAATGTTTCAGCATTGACCTCCACATGAGGACTTAGTACCTCAACATCAGTGTGTTATTTATTTGTATTTCAGTAAGAAAACTTTTTAATTTTTGTCACTAACTCTCTGTCTATAACCGGTGGTCCCTGGAATTGCTCCCAGTGGTCCGACGACACCATAATGTAGTGAAGAGTATGCCGTCTTTACAATCACATTATAATTAGTGTTATATTTTGCGTTTATTTATAGATACATAAAACTAACCCTTTATCTATCTACATTTTGGTACTTCACTTTAAACCAAGTGAGTAGTCCATGGCCAGATCGTAATTAGTCAAATAGTCTCTAATTATTAAACGTTTAACAAACAATGACATAGAGTAAGCTGCAATTATTGTATAAATTAAATTGTGATGTCGTTTATTCGTTGAGCGTGGCTGCTGATTTAGTCAACGGTTGGAATGGACAGATTAAGCTACAGATCTCTGGTCTACAGAAACTTCAATCTATGATGCTATTACACTTCCAAAGTCACGTAATAGTAACACCCACCAATCCGCACTGAGCCTTGGCGACGTGTATAGTAGGGCTACCAACAAAAAAAATCCTAAAACTAGGATTCAAAGTAAGAAAAGCCAGGACAGCCAAATATAAAACTTTGAGTTCAGTTATAATACTTGAAAATCCAGAACATCCCAGGATGCTACAAAATCCATAATAGGTCCTGATAAAAATGACAATAGGGAACGTCTATGCAGCACATCAATGCATTGATACAGTTAACTTTATATTTTATGCTATTCCGAATATTATTATCTTACTTTTACTAATACAAAAATAAAATGTGTTTAATTATGTTGCCCATTTTTAAACTTTACTCGGTTTCCTTATTCTTCTTTGTGAACTTCAAAACAGTGCGATTATAATAACAAATGGCTATGAGTTGGCTGTACATTATTATAATTTATTGTCGTAATTAGGCTACACATCTAACATTATCTTGAATTACCATGTGACCCATTTGAAAAGATTTTCACAAAGTGAGAGAAAAGTTTAAGTTCTAAGAATAATAGTCAGTTATAAAAGTGTGACTAATTTTTAGGATGCGCACCTAAAAAGGAAAACCGGAAACCGTTGTCTGTCGTCACAGCTCTATCCGTCACAGAGAATCTCAAATATACATATATTTTATTAATATGATATAATTATTCAAGAAAATAGACAAAAATAGCGTTAAAGAAATCTGACGCAACCATTTTTTTTAATGGAACGAAAATGCACCTTTAGCACCACATCTTTCGCATCATGGACACTCATTGTGCTGGCATATTTTAAAAGTTTTTTACATTCCATCAAAATATAAGACCGGCTCACTCACCCTTATTACTCTTCCTGTAATAATAAAGTGAGATAGAACTATCTTCTGCGCCATTCACGTGAAGTAGTTCTTCCCTTTTAATGTTTCTTCCATGGGGGCCTCTAATCAGGATAGCGACTTCGCCACCATCTATAGCCGATGTTGCTGCATCCACGAGATGGTTCGTTGCATCTGAAATAAAATAAGATTTATAAACTCAAATTTTTGCAAGTTATCTAAGCAAAATTCAAAAATTTCTGCAGAGGTACAGGCGTACTTCGTTGTTGAAATCGAATAGGAAGAATTGGCTCGTGGGTCGAGTGCAGATTGGTGGGTGTTAACGACTGCAGAATCAACCGGGACTAATAGCTGTAAATGCCTTTCGAGGCACGTAGCAACTATAGATAATAAATTTTTGGTTACTATTCCTATAACAAAAAGTAGCTTTATTTTTCGTTACTTTTTATATTAATGCACAATAATAAATACGAAAACAAGAAAATCTAATATATAGATATGTTCATCACCATCATCAGCTCTTTTACGTCCCCACTGCAGGGACTCAGGCCTTCCTTATGGATGGTTAAGGAGGATGGGCCATGATGAACCTGCACGCTGGCCCAATGCGGATTGGAGGGTATTAACGACTGCAAATCCAGCCAGGACTAACGGCTTAACGTGCCTTCCGAAGCACGAAGTACCTCGAAACTATAATTTTATGGTCACCCATCCCATGACCAACCCTAGCGAAAGATGCTTAACAACAACGATCGCGAGCCGCGGCGCTTATCCTCTACGCCACCGAGCTACTCATGTTCAATAAATCAGACAATATTTTCTGCCGCTAGTGAATATTATATCACAATCACAATAAACTTTCAGTATGATTATTTCTATATTTTAGTAGTAATACGTATTTTTATATGCTTTTATTTTAAATTAATTTTATTTATAAAAAATGCTTGAAAATCCACTTTGTCCCTAGCAGTCTGCGATCATTATGAATATTTTTAGTATAACATTATGAATGCAAAATTTATCAAATATATTACTTATACTTAAGATAATGCTTTTATACTTAAGTTTAAGATTTTTTATTGCATTATGCGTGAATGCAAAATTTTAACAGTTTATGAAGCAAGGTTAGTTGAATGAACTTTCTTAGTTAAAAGAATAACAATTATTTCGCAGATTATAAAATCCCTATCATAAAGTTCATAGACATTTCAGTAAATTTTCAAACAGCGCTAAACGACAATATACTCTAATACTGTAAGTATATAAGGATCATAACAAAAAACTCTCTAATCATACACCAGTCATTGATAAAAGTTAACCTACTGATCTTGTGACAGCATGATAATGGGTACTGCCTAATGTTGCCAAATAGAAGTTGCTATGTTTATAACATTTTATATATATTGTTTGTCTAAACTTTATGTGTAATCTATTGTTTGTTTAGTTAGAGGTAGAGGGTTAATCTTCTTAAATATATCATGAAAATTGTCACAGCAACGGAATCTATACCATAGATAATGAGGCAAAATAAGTAGTCGTTAAGATAAATCAAAAATGTTTAATGTTGAATGATCAGAGGAAAGTAACCAATTACGGAATAGTATCCTTGATATAGCATACTAGAATTCCTTTATTAAATAATAAGAAGTCCTGTTAATCCTGTATTCAGTATCATATAACAATATTTATCATTTTTTTTTAAAGAATATATTAAGAAAGTTTTAATATTAGAGACCATTCTATTCCATATTTGGTTACTTTCGCTTATTCTGAGCGAAATATCGGTGTTAATTTTATTAAAAAAATATATTTCAATATCTCAAACCACAGCTCAGGTTCATTTATTGCAATCGTAGCGTTACTGGGTTGCCACAATAGTAATGTAGTTATTTTTAAGGTAGAATTTTGTAAAATGCCTGTTTCATTCTTTTTGACTCAAGAAATAACGGAAGTAGTTTATAATATATTTTTATCAATAAAAATTTTCACATTCTTTAATATGATATATTTTGCGCTTCCTGTGTAATATTATTAATTTCTTAATTTGGACATATTTGTAGAGGGAAAAGTATCATAGTGGATTTAAAAAAGCTATGGTGAAACAAAAACCGTTCATACAAACTAACCCCACCCTTCTAACCCCAAAAATAGCCTTTCAACATTTGCGATCCTAAAAAATCAAAACACACCTTTAAGAAATTAGCGCCATCTACAGACATTAAAAACTTCACCAACCAAGATTTCGTTTTAACAAATCTTTTCTTACTCCTTCTATATAATATACTGTGTCATTGACCTACAATTTATTTTTATGAAATTTTCTTAATATAATAATATTCAACAGATGTTCGCAACCCTAAATGGTAGTGACATACGTGCCGGTTATTCCTGACATTGGGTTTGACTCACTACAGTGTTCATTTGTTTGTTTTACACCCAAGAATATTTCACTGATCACCGACCTTCGTCTTACGAACATTCGAATCAATAAAATGCTATATTTAGGCATGAAATACTCATATTTTTTTAGCATTAAGCGTTATATCAACCTATTGTTTTCTCCATAGTTAATTTTAATTAAAATTTAATTAGCATTAATACTTGTTTAAGTTTTGTATTTTTTTCGAAATACAAATTGTCTCTTCTGGAGCCGTACATTGTACGGCTTGACCCGACTGGGGAGAGACTCTTCCCTCGCGAACCAAACGACTCAACATGAGCATCACTTACGTATGAAGGCATGTCCGGGCTTTTTAACGGGTGCCCGAGTGTTAAGAGCGGAGGTGGACTCTTCTCCGTCACCGGAGACCTACCCACCAAACCACCAAAACCTCTAAGGTGTAACCCTCTGCTGGGGAATGAGAGAACCGTGATCGAGTCGCCAGGATAGTCACCCCCCCTAGAGGAGAGTCTCACATAACCATGCCATCCCGTCAAGCGGCTGAGATAGTACGTAACGTATTTTGCCTCGGTAAAAAAAGGTTCTGACTCTGCCATGGAGGTTTCGAAGTGTTGTCATCTCTGAAGTTCCGAGTTAAATTTCCGGTCAGGTCAATATAGAAAATTGACTATATTGTCTCGGGTCTAATTGTTGTAGAACATTCGTTGGTCCGACTTCCATATTAGATTGGGATAAATACATACACAATATTTTTATTACAATATTTACAAAGAAAATTGAAATACATTTTTTTTGTATAAGAAATATTTAGTTTTATTTCAATTTTCACGTTTAAATCATTTTCATGTCTATTTTGAAAAGCATGAACAAACCGTAGGTATATTGAAAAAAGGGGTCATCGACCTCCGTGGTCAGATAATCATAAGCTATTTCACGTGTTTATAGGACATCTTTTTATTTTTTACCTACGATGTTAGCAAATTTCAAAAAGAGAAAATATAATGTGATATGATTCACCGTAACGAATAAAATATTAATACACTGACTATATTTTTTTTCCTGTATAAATCCTTGGCTTAGGCTCTATCTGAGAAGATTTTATACTTGAGCTAGAAACAAAATCCAGAGCAATTTTCATTTGAACTTCGAATTAGCCTTCGGTGATTCTAGTGATATAGTAAGGAATCTAATGATAAGTAAAGGCGGAAAGCATTTTAATAAATATTAAAAAGGTTACAGATATTGTTTTAGCAGTAGAATATTATTATAAATTATATCCTAAAATTAACAAGGTGGGTTTCCATTGTGAACTTTGATTGCCCTTAAAATAAGAATATATAAAAAATCTACAAAATAAATTTCATTAGGTAATGACAGAAATAAGTTGGATATCGTAATGTGCAATTTCCTCAAACCTCTAATGCATTCTTCCCCTTAAAATAAGAATATATTAGCGGTTGTTTTATTGAGTATGTAAGTAAGTAGTAGTTAATTTTTTGACTAGGATTCGAATTGGGGTGTTATGGAATACCTTACACCCCTGTTGCCCATCAAATAAGCACGTTAGGGGAGCGACAGAGCGGCACAACAAAGGGAAATTGGAGTCTCTGAACCTAAATTTTGTGTAGTTTGTAATAATAAGAAAAACTCATTGAGAAAAAAAACGCTATCGCTTATGAATTAGTCGCGACTTAAACCTTACGTCGGCCCAATGATGTCATGGATAAGCCAGAGGCGTAACCGTGCGGGATAAAAACCACCCAGCTTTACACGGTACGATTCTGTCCCTTTGTTGTTTTTAATGCACCAATAAGCAGGTTTTATTTTAAGCAGGGACGACGTTTTGCCTATGGTTCATGGGTAAAATAAAGCTTATGGTTACCATAATCTTCATAATGAAAAATCTATTGCTATCTAAAATATATTACTAGCCCTAGATTTCATAGCGCTTTAGATTAATACATAAATAAAAACGGATAACATCACATATATTGGTCCAATACCAAAATATTACCTTTGAATTTCAATTTAAAAAATATTGAACTCGACGAATCGCGACAATTAGGTACTCTAAAACGAAGCCATCTAAAATAGCTACCGTCTGTTGTGTAACATCTGTTTTCGCAAAAGGGTTTCAGATTGTTCATTCGTTCATTTTATTCCCTTTATTGACACAAATAGGTCTTCTGTTTAGACAACTTTACTATAATAATAAATAAGCATTTAATTCTGATTGAAAACTTTAGATGCCATAGTCTGTACTAACTTTGTGATTGTCATTTAATTAATTTTGTTTACACAATTGTATTTTAACAATTCTATTAGAAAAAAACTTTGTAAAACTTTCCTTACATTCCTATTTAATATCAAGCAGGTAACGTTCAATTAAAATTTTAGTTCCTTTTTTGTTATTTTCTAATATATACTAATATTATAAAGAGGAAGGTATAGTTTCTAACATTTTGTTCTTTCACCTACGGAAAGCTATATCATACGTGGATGAAATAGGTTTTTACAGGCGAAGTCGAGGGAAAATGTCTATTAGTTTGATTTCACACAGATAAAGCTTTCTTGTAGACCAGGGATCGGCAACATGTGGACCGCGGTCCACGTTTGGACTGTGGAGGGTTGATTTTTGGACCGCGGGCTGCCAAATATTGTTAAATGTATCTGCATATTTTATTTTACGTAAGTGAATGTGCGTGTCACACCAAGGGCATCTTTACATAACGAGCTAAATTCCTTCTTTGAAAACAAATATACATGGTTAAAC